TGTGTAGTCGTTATTTACTGTGACATGTGTAGTCGTTATTTACTGTGACATGTGTAGTCGTTATTTACTGTGACATGTGTAGTCGTTATTTACTGTGCTATTTGTAGTCGTTATTTACTGTGCTATGTGTAGTCGTTATTTACTGTGGCATGTGTAGTCGTTATTTACTGTGACATGAGTAGTCGTTATTTACTGTGACATGTGTAGTCGTTATTTACTGTGACATGTGTAGTCGTTATTTACTGTGCTATGTGTAGTCGTTATTTACTGTGACATGTGTAGTCTTTATTTACTGTGACATGTGTAGTCGTTATTTACTGTGCTATGTGTAGTCGTTATTTACTGTGGCATGTGTAGTCGTTATTTACTGTGCTATGTGTAGTCGTCATTTACTGTGACATGTGTAGTCGTTATTTACTGTGCTATGTGTAGTCGTTATTTACTGTGCTATGTGTAGTCGTCATTTACTGTGACATGTGTAGTCGTTATTTACTGTGGCATGTGTAGTCGTTATTTACTGTGACATGTGTAGTCGTTATTTACTGTGACATGTGTAGTCGTTATTTACTGTGACACGTGTAGTCATTATTTACTGTGCTATGTGTAGTCGTTATTTACTGTGACATGAGTAGTCGTTATTTTACTGTGCTATGTGTAGTCGTTATTTACTGTGCTATGTGTAGTCGTTATTTACTGTGGCATGTGTAGTCGTTATTTACTGTGCTATGTGTAGTCGTTATTTACTGTGGCATGTGTAGTCGTTATTTACTGTGCTATGTGTAGTCGTTATTTACTGTGGCATGTGTAGTCGTTATTTACTGTGCTATGTGTAGTCGTTATTTACTGTGGCATGTGTAGTCGTTATTTACTGTGCTATGTGTAGTCGTTATTTTCTGTGATATGTGTAGTCGTTATTTACTGTGACATGTGTAGTCGTTATTTACTGTGACATGTGTAGTCGTTATTTACTGTGCTATGTGTAGTCGTTATTTACTGTGCTATGTGTAGTCATTATTTACTGTGACATGTGTAGCAGTTATTTACTGTGTCGTGTGTGATAGTTATTTACTTTGACATGTA